CCTAGGTAGACGTTCTGGAGGCATCCAAAACAGATACCTAAGCCACCTCAGCTGACTTCTCTCGATGTGGAGGAGCAGTGGCTCTACTCCGAGCTCCTCCCAGGTGATAGAGCTCCTCACCCTGTCTATAACGGTGTGCCCTGCCACCCTACGAAGCAAACTCATTTCAGCCGCTTGTATCAGAGATCTTGTCCTTTTGGCCATGACTCAAAGCTCATGACCATAGGTGAGAGTAGGAACGTAGATTGACTGGTAAATCGAGAGCTTTGCCTTAGCTCAGCTCCTTCTTTACCACAACGGACCGGTACATCGACATACAGACATTACTGCTGCCACTGCACCAACCCGCCTGTCAATCTCATGCTTGATCCTTCCCTCACTTCTGAACAAAACCCCAAGATACTTGAACTCCTCCACCTGGAATAAGGACTTTCGCCCAACCTGTAGATGGCAAACCACCTTTCTGGTGGAGCACCATGGCCTCAGATTTGGAGGTGCTGATTCTCATCATAGCTGCGTCACACTCCACCCCTGTGCATGCTGAAAGTCCATGTATGAAGTAGCCAATAGAACGACAAGTTCTGCGAAAAACAGAGATGAAATCCTGTGGTCCCCGAACTGGACCCCCTCCAGCAACAGAGCTAAGCTTTGAAGTTCTGTCCATAAAAAATTATGAACAGAATTGGTGACAAAGTGCAGCCCTGCCGGAGCCCAACATGCACTGGAAACAAGTCTGACTTATTGCCGGCAAAACTCCTACTGTGTTCATACAAGGTCGAGACAGAACTTAATCTAACTCCAATTTCTAATTTTACATTTAGATTTATCCAATTCAAGCTGATTACTTTTTAGGTTGTGATTAGGTCTAATTTAGAATGATTAACCTAATAAATACTTTTTCTCAGGTAACGTGTTTTGGCTAAGCGCAAAGATAAGTTAATGATTAATGTAACCACGTAGCCTATTCTGTAAATTGACTGATTGCTTGCCTTTAATTCCTATAATGTATAAACTTATTGTATGTTATACTTTTATAATGGCCATTATTGATTATTAAAACTGATATTCAGCAAAAGAGAAGGTGAGTTTCGTATTTTCACTGAAATTGAAAGGAGGCAGTTGTTATCGGCTCCGTTTTGTTATAAATATCCACACAGTGAAGATGACGCTCATGCAGCACGACGCCTTAATATTTCTGCTGTCTAAGTTGCTAATATTAAAATGAAAATAGGCAGTTTCTTAAATCATGTCTACATTTTATTGTTGAAAAAGTGAAACAACGTAGCCAGGGTGATGTGAATGAAGTTATAAAGTACACTGTTCCCTTTGAAGATTTACCCGTGTCCTCGGTATAGTCTGTTTTCCATATCAAACTGAGAAGAAGAGACTGCAGCCATGATCAAACTTGCGAAGTTTTAACTTACACGGAGAAGATGCAGGACTGAACTGTGCGTGTTAGGCTACTTAATATTGTGGAAAAGCTCCAATCAGAGAGGCGAATGTCTGCAGCCCCGCCTCCGTTTTCAGATGTCTCCGTTTTCCATCATCCACACTGAGATGGAGCAGCAGCGTTTCAGAATGAAAACGGCCTCTGCAGCGTTTTCGAAACGCTCCGTTTTGGGCGCTCGAGAACTCCGGCGTAGTGTGGACGGTTGGCGTAACCATAGCAAAACTTATGCGTTTTCAAACTAAAACGCTTTAGTGTAAATGGGGCCTTAGATAGGGGATATAACTGTAAACTAATTTCCTTTAAGTAATATTAGGCTCCCCCATGCTTGTGTAACCCCACCGGTCTTACACCGCCCAACCCGCTCCGAGCTGGGATCAAACCGGCTACCTTCCGCATGGGAGTCGGTTGCTCTACCAAGGAGGCTAAAGACCATGGCCTCTAGCGTCTGTCGCTAGAGCACCTTCAGAGGTCAGAGGAGTGAGGTTTACCTGCACAGCCCCTACTGGCTGGCCTCCGTTACACTTGCTTACACATACAGTTTGATTTAGCCCCTAGATTATATCATACTAAGTCAGTGATTGTCAGAAATCAACAGCTCTCTAATGCTGTGCTTATGCTTCATCCATTGAGCCTGAATGTATGACTAATCCTGGTCGTAGGCTGTGGAAACATCAGCCTAAACAATCTACTAGATGTTGTAGAATGTTGTAGAATGATTTTAGGAGATATTAGAGTTAAACAAGAATTTTACATTTAGTTGACAGGCAAAGATTTTCCAATCCAATTCACATAATTAAACTAAACAAGCCAAGTCAGATTGTACAACATCAACTACTCAAAGATTAGATACTAATACCTGACCACGTAGAAATGCATTGCAGCATATAAGTCATGATGCAGAGCTCAGAGACTTTTACACTGCTGTGGGGAGAATCCCAATGACCCATAATCACATTTTTTCTTTATATACTTAACTCAGAAGAAACAGCCATAAATTCAAGACAACAGAAGCTTCACCGAGATCCTTGCCTGGTGAATTTGAGGAGTTAATCATCTCTATGGGGGGAGCATCGGGCAAAGATTTTATCAACGACAAAAACCATTTTAACATATACAATTAAAATATTACAGTGAAATTAAGACCATTTTACCAATCACACAGAGACATTTAAAATGATACCAAACATGAATATAAGGCTACAAGATATACCATATTAAAACCTTGGACATTTCATGTGAAATGTGCTCTGATCAGAAGGTAACTTAAAGGTCAAGAAGGAGCGCTTGAGGTGAAAGGAGAAGGGTGAAATTTCTCGCATTTCCCCCTGGTGAGGTTTAGCTCTGTATTTCCAGCCTATTGTCAACAGTCTCAGGATAATTTGAAAAGAACAGTTGAACAGCTGGTTTCCTTTTCTTCTCGATCAGAAAGTTTATTGTTAAACTGCATAGCAATTCTTGTGGTCTTGTCTCAAAGTTCCATAACAGTCCTCAGAGTCTGACATCATGGAGAGATTTAGCAATCCTTACGCAATTAAAGTACAAAGCATACATCAATTCATATTCTTTATATTTGAATTACATTGATATCTTTCTTTTAATCATTTGTTTGTTTGCATCAGTGCAAGATCTGCATTATGCAATAATATTGCATCAGCTTACTACTAACCTGTGGAAAGATTGCTATCAAAATCAATGAACTCCTTTTTTTTTTGACTACATTTACACAGACGTCAGTAATCTAATGATTTGCCTTAAACAGAACAATACAATATTGTGATTAAGGTGTTTACATGAGTTGATTTTTGAATTTTTATTCCAGATCCATAAACATCATTACATCAGCACACTATCCAACATTTTCTCCGAAGTTCCGGGTGTTTAATATTTATTTTTCAAATTTAACTAAAGTTTCATATTAATTCAGGAACATTTCATTTATGGCTCGACAGGTAAAAGGAGTCTTCGAAGTTATATCATGCAAATTAATGAAATTGCATCTCACTCACAATAGAGCTCGCTGAGCCTTTTGATTTAATCAACATATGTGCTGAAAACTCAAAAAAGTCACTTTGTACCAGCCGGTACAGACAGCGGACAGCCAATCTCCAAACTGGACTTTACACAATGATCTCATGGCTGTGACGTAGCTTCAATTATTTTTATTTTTTTTTTAAACCAGAACAACAAATTTGCTCTAAATTACACAAAAACAACCTTTTTTTTTTTTTTTTTTTTTTTTTTTTTTACTTTTTGGTGAAATGTTTTCTAATAGTGTTTTTAGCAATGTGGGACACATATATGACTGTCAACATCTTAAAAAAAAGTGTTTTTGTGTTACGAGAAGTTAAACTGCAAAGCTGAAGTTTGAAAAACATGCAACAAACCCTGTGGAACATACACATACGACCCATCATGAATGACTAAATACTGTGTGCCGTGGGTCTGAGGACGCGGTCTCACTCAGTCATCAACAGAGTCTCACAGCTTGGCACTAGCAGGTCTGTCTTGCCTTCAGAAGTACATGCAGTCATGAATGATTAAGAGGCAGGGTTTTCTCATAGGATAAGAAAACTATGAATAATAATAATGAGAAACAGATGCGTCATCACTCTACTAGCAGTTTTGCGCTACATCACCAATTTTGATCCCGCCCCAAAAATCAATTTATACCCGGAAGATGAAATTAGCTGACAAAAGCTCCAGTTTTCCCCACAACTAAAGCTGACAGGTTGATACACAAATCTGTTAAAATCTCAACAAAAAATAAATAAATAAATAAATAAAAATACTCCAGGGTACTTTTAACACAAGAAACCCCTGAAAAAAAAATGTGAATGACAAAATATGGAAACTGTTAACTGTATATCTTCTGCTAAAAAGAGGAAAAATGATTGAATCAAACTTGTTCAGACACAATCAGTGAATTGGTGGTCACGTCATCTCCTCTTATTTGCATAAAGTTAGAGTGTTCATAATTTTGCTAGTGGACACGCCCACATCGCCACCTCTCATTGAAAATGAACGACCTCAGCTTACTTCAAATCAGCGCTTGTGTGAACACCCCTGAATTATGCTAATCAGGCACCGGCCTGCAACCTCGGCTCATTTCTAAACCAAGAAAATATAAATAATTTGCAGAGGGAGTCATTTTGGCCGGTGCCCTGAGGTAATAACTCCAATTTACGGTGGAAAACTCAAAGGGCCTTTGAATTAATTCCTGTATCTCAGTTCTCATTCAACAAAACACCAGAGAAAACCTACAAGACGTTACAAGGCTACATGTGAAGGTCACATTTGAAAGTGTTCTTTCCTATAAAAGCATTTAAAGAGGGCATATTTTGTTGATAGCTATACACAGCACATCAACAGCATACACAAAAGCACAATAAACTAAACCCACTTGGGTCCAACTAAACACAAAAGTTCTGATATATATGTGAGACTGCAGAGCACAGAAGCCAACAAGAGTTTGTTTTCCATCATAGAACAACTTTGCACTTTGGCCGAAAACAGCACTCAACAGCAATCTAAACCTCCTGCCGCATCGTACCTCAGATATGATCTATTCTTCCCGTGCCATTGTCTCTCCTCCCTTCTCCAACCATCTGTGGAAAGAAGACAAGAGGTTATTAGACAGGGGCTGAGAAGGGGAAGAGAAAAATATAGCTCTGGAGCAGCAATTTCAGGCGCAGACACAGCAGCTGCAGAGATGTTTTAATTCAGCAAGCGTCCAAAGAAACAGGGGAGTGCGCAGTTATGATTTCAGCATCCAGTGTTATGCAGTGAGTCTATTTAAGCCACCACCGAGGTATGATGTCATCAAGACAATATGATACTGTTCCCTGTATAATACTGTACTGCATCCCAATTCTCATATTATGCATCATAACAATTGTTACGTCCCGACCAGTCTAGGGTTGGTGGGAACAATAACAAGTGTAAAAAAAAAAAACAAAGAGATAAACTCAAATACTCAATTTAGGGTTTTCCCCTTCTCCTGTCCCAACTCACAATAATCACAACGCTGATCAAGTAGTAACAATATTTATTATTTACTTAGACAACAAAGATAGAAGCATCTCTTCGGAAGGGAATCCAGGCCAAAATAATAAACAAAAAGACAGCTAACTTGCGGGGAAATAATTCTAACTTACCTGCTCAAATAAAAGTACCCCAAATAAAATTATAGCAAACTTCCCTTTCTCCCTTGCTACCACAAACCAGGAGAAAACGTTTTTAAGTAAATGGCGATTCCCAACCTACCGCTTCTGTTTCTAACCAAAAATAATATAATTATGCATCAATAATTGTTACGGTTTAATTAAGTTGTCTAGGGAAAATAAACGTAACACTTATAATATTAAATGATTACTGAGTAGATGGATGGAAAATACACCAGGACAAATTTACATTCAATTCGTTTATTCCTCTTACGAGGAGAAGAAAGATGAAGCCAACAAAAGAGAGGCTTACATGCGTGCGCTTTGTACAATGTATATATATAATAATAATAATAAGAAGAAAGAAATACAATCAAAAGTTTTAGGGGAAAAAGGAACTAGAGTGGCGCCAAAGCAAAGAACTAAACAAAACCAAAAGCCACCTAAACTAGAACACAAGATCCCCCCCCTCTAAACTTACTAATAAAAATCAAAATGTGAAAAAGAAACCGAAGTCTTCGGCGTTTGCGACGCCACACCTAAACTCCCTGAAATAATAAGCAAAAAATACAAAATGCGGCGCTCACCCACTTACCTAGTGTTTCTGAACATTGAAGTTACCTACGGGCAAAATGTATGTTGCGCGACTTAGTAAACTATTCCCTTTTCCCCAAAAAGGAATGATAAACTCTTTAACCATGACTTAATTTACATCGATGTAGTTATTCAGAAACACAGAACAAAGCATACATTATGAACAGCAGTGAGCGAACACAAACCAACACGCACACACATAGCACTCTGAAAAACAAGGCGTGCCGGTCGAATTTAAAGTCCGCGAAACGAAGTCCAATTGGTTGACGAGGAAACGCCCTAATGAGGAGTGACAGGCTGGGGATCCAATCAGCCGGTACCTAGTAGAGGAAAAATAGTGAAACAAAAGGTGATAGGACGAGACAAAGAGCGAATGACAGACAAGGAGATGCGAAGGGAGCGAAAGGAGACAAGCAAAACAGAGAGAGAGAAGGCCCAAAAATACAAACTCCCACAGACCGTAACAATAATAATAATAATAATAATAATAATAATAATAATTCTTTAAATTTGTATAGTGCTTTACTGGACACTAAAAGTGCTTTTACACATTGGGGGGGAAGCTCCTCATCCACCACCAGTGTGCAGCATCCACCTGGATGATGCGACAACAGTCATACTGCACCAGACTCCACATCACACACTCACTGATTGGTGGAGAGGAGACAGAGTGATGAAGCCAATTATGGTATGGGGACGGTTAGGAGGCCATGATGAACAGAGGCCAGCGGGCAAATTCGTCCAGAATGCCGAGGTTAAACCCTCTTTTCGAAAGGACATTCTGGGATTTTTAATGACCACAGAAAGTCAGGAACTTGATTTAATGTCCCATTCAAAAGATGGCACTCACTGAGCAGTATAGAGTCCTCATCAATATTCTGTATACATCATTAAATTATACATCAATATAGACCCTCACAGACCGCAGGTTGTGCTGGTCTCACAAACACCACTTCAGGGAGCAACCTAGCTTTCCCATGTAGTTTCAGTGGGCATCTGAGGCCCCGTTTACTCTAATGCATTTTAGTTTGAAAACTCATAAGTTTTGCCACACTACGCCGGAGTTTTCCAGGACTGAAAACGGACCGTTTTGGAAACGCTGAAGAGGCAGTTTTCATCCTAAAACGCTGCTGCTCCGCCTCAGTGTGGATGTGGGGAAACGGAGACATCTGAAAACGGAGGCGGGGATGCAGACATTCGCCTCTCTGATTGGGGCTTTTTCCTCAATATTAAGTAGCCTACACACAGTTCAGTCCTGCATCCTCTCTTTGTAAGTTCAGACTTCGCAAGTTTGATATAAAAAACAGACTCCCGAGAACATGTCGGGTAAATCTTCAAAGTGAACGGTGTTCTTTCTAACCGTATCACCCCGGCTACAATGTTTCACTTTCTTAACAATTAAATAAAAACATGAAGGAACTGCTATTTTCATTTTGATATTAACAACTTAACAGACAGCAGAAATGTTGAGGCGTTGTGCTGCATATATGAGCGTCATCTTCACTGTATGCATATTCATAACAAAACGGAGCCTATAACATTACTGCTTTCTTTCATTTTCATTGAAAATACAAAACATACCCTCTCTTTTGCTGAATATTAGTTTAATAATCAATAATGGACATTAAAAAAATATAACCTACAATTAGTTTATAGGAAATA